TCATTTCCTTTAAAGGAGGAATCTCCTAATTTTTGAACCTTTTTAAAATCAAGCATGTACTAGGTTAAAAATCGTACATCCATATCTAAGAAAAAATAAAAAGATCCTTTAAAAATTAGTTTACCGTGACTTACACGAATCACCCTCATTCAAGAAGTTAAGAAAGAAACTTAATTGTAGGGAGGCTTTTGCGGCAATTATGTTATTTGGTAGGTCCAGGAGAAGTGGAGAATGGGTGGAGGATTGTTGTTTTGCATGCACTTGGATAGTTTGGTTAGCTTGGAATAAAAAGTTCTTTAGAGGCAGTCAGAAAGAGGTCGAAAGGTTATTTGAATTAAAACAGTTCAGATCTTTCCATTGGATCAAAGGTAGATAGAGGGTTTGTTTATTCAATTTTAGCGACTGGACCTTGGAACCAAAAAAATTGTGTGAAATGAGTTAGAAGGGGAAGATTTTAGTAAGGAAGTAGGCTTAATTGGGGATCAAGATTAAAAAATAAGACAATGATTGATATACACTCTATTAACACACTATATAATACAATTATTAAAAAGTTATTTTTTTATTAAAATTAAAGATAGATAAATTTAAATATATAATCATGTATACATGATACATAAATTAACTAAATCAATTATATTTATATTGTATTTTTTATTAAAATTAAAGATAGATAAATTTAAATATATAATTATGTATACATGATACATAAACTAACTAAATCAATTATATTTATATTGTATTTTAATAAATAAATTAAGATAAATATCAAGAAAATATATTAAATTAAATGTATACTAATTATTTTTTCTAAAAAATGAACAAATTCAGAGGCGTAGTTCCAAGGGAAGGTTTTGCAGATGGTATTATTCATTGTGGACAACTTGGCAAAGCTGAATTAGAATGACAGTATTCCCCTTTGTTGTGCAATTTATGATCATTATATTATAGTATATGTTTGTGAGGCAGTGACTCAATAGATTGTTGGATGCAACGGATAAAATACTCCTTATACTCTTATATTAATAAAATTGTTGTCGCATCTGACCTAGTGGCAAGTACCACAATCAAAGGTGCATTCCTTTTTTTGGGTGGGTTCAACCCACCCCATGATCATTGTTCAAAAAAAATAAATAAATAAAATTGTTGTCCATAAACAAAGGAGGAAATAAAGAAAATGAATGAAGTGACAACTTCTAAAAATAATAAACATTACTTCATGATATGATAAAAGAATTTTTTTTTTTCCCTTCAATATTGAGCACTTCCTGAGATATTCTTTCCATTCTTTAAATTTCTCTTTCTTTTCACCTTCTCAAGATCTGAATTTGATGCCTTTAATTTGAAATGTTAAAGAAAGATTCAATTCCTCCACTAATTTCTACCTTAAAAGAGA